TGTAAACTTCCTTAATACGTCTGTCGATCTCCGCGGGTTCTTGGCCAGATAAAAAAAGAAACACGGTGGTGTCGCGGAGGTGGAGTTGCGATGGCTTGAAATCATGGCGCATGGTTGCAGGAAAGAAAGCAAGTGTGCTTGTTAGCATGTATTCTGAAGAGATTTTCATACTCTATCTAACAATGCCACGCGCGTTCATTTTCGTCTCCTCTTTCCTGACTTATGATCTCTAGAAATCATCGCTATCATTTCGTCCGAGGACTTATGACTCAACCTAATATAAAAACGGTCACAAATTCGAAAGTGTTCTTTGATATAACAAGAGCAACGAGGAAAGAAGGGTTCTCAAGCTAGAGTAGTAGGCACCAAATCAAATAGAAAACACGATACTTTACAACCACTTCAGAAATTGAAAACTGAGCAATACAATTCATCTTGCTCCGAAGAAAAGTGACCGAAGTTCACGGCATTAGTTCTTCATATAGTAACGAGCCAATCGAGAATCATTACGGCGAAATAATTTTGCACTCAAATAGGGACACATTACCTGGCCATGTGGGTTGAGAGAGCTGCATTCCAAAGGCTCCAAAGATTGGACGGATGACCGCTGTTCGTTGAAGTAATTGAAAGGAGAAAGTATAAAGTTTTGGGGCGTTAATCAATCTCGTCTAAGAGATGCGCTCACGCGTTCGGCTTCCATTCAGAATCGTAGTAGAGTACTGAATGCCTATATGCCCTATACAATGATTTGGGGTGGCCGGCTGATGTACAAGTCCGTGCTTTTATTCTTCCACTCTGATATCAACTACCCGATCCCGGAGGGTTGGTAGGTTTGATTGGCCAAGACGGATATCGACTCGGGATTTGAGCCTCCCGAGTCGATATCCGTTAGTGATCATCCGTGTGTGATAGTGCGCCACTTGCCAGTTCAGAATCTCCGTCCTTTGAAATTAAATATATAATGAAAACTATATGCATTGTTGTTATAATACACCCACTGCATGATTGGAATCTCGCCTTTTCGAGTGAAATGTTAGATAGGAGTGTCTACCTGCCGAAATCTGACAATGATTATATGAATTATCGACAGATCTTCATTGCCTTCTTGCAATTTTCGACGAAGACGTAGGAAAGTATGGAAGCTACTATATTTGGCATCCTATCTCACAAATCCTGTTGGTCATCCCCACTGCAATCAAAGAAATTGCGTGATAAGCCTCTCTCATGACTGAGTGGATTATTGTTCTGAGCCGTTACTGAAAATGAAGCCAAAGTCGTCACCGCCTCGAGACCCGATCCCCTATCCGTAGCGGATTAAGGGACGGAAACATTCCAACACATTTTTAAGCTGCAACGCTGGAATTTAAGGAGTGTCTGGGTTCATCAACACGAAAACATGTTCTTTTCAGACGGAATTCATGCATTTCGCAAGCAACATTTGCCTACATAGGCTGTAAAAGCCCCAATTCTACATTTTTCAAACTATCTATGGGCGAAAGAGGAAGATAACAAAAAGGTTATCCGCGCAGGTCTTGACAGCAACAGGTTCGGTCTACTTGTAGAAGCTGGACCAATGACTGAACATTTTACAGATGATAGTTTTCTTTTGAACTTGGTTAGCTTCGTTGTTGTCTCACTTGTTGGAAACCGAAAATTTGGTAAGTTTTGAAGAGTCACAGAAAAAAGAATGATCATAAGTCAGGTCCAGCAGAGAAGTTTTTGCAGGCATAACTTTTTTTCCTTGACCTCGAAACTTCATTTTTAAGGACTATTTCAGGAAAACACCATATAGATGAGATATCACTATCAAAGCTTAATATATCCTCATTTTTGGTTTACTTACTTTCTCTTGCAAATAGGAGGTTGAGCAACTGTTCTGCAGCTAACCAGATTCGCAACCACCCGTTACTACTAGGTAGTATGGAAAGTATCTGCAAAAGCCTCTTTTCCACTACGACATATGCTACTCACAAAGCGGATTGTAGGGAGTCCGTGACGGGCCATATGACGTTGTAGTTATCACCTCAGCTTGAGGATTGGGACGTTGGAAGAGTATACGTCAAAACATTCGCATTACTTCAAACTTTCTGAAGGTCGTGAAGGCTTTCATTGAAATCTCATATGACGACACTACCACATTCATGCCCACAACAAAACCGTCCCCCCTCCTTCCGTGTGATCCTAACTCACGACTCACACCTCTTCATGAATCCCAGGTCCGGTCAGTGCGCTTCTGAAGACCATCGAAACTTCTGCCAAGTAGAAATTTCATGATAGCCGTAAAGCTTGTATAAGCGTTTTTGTCTAAGCCTCCTTCCAACGCTTTAGGGCCGGAAATAGGGCAGTCTAAGTGAGACTCGATCTGGTCAACAGAATGCGATATCACGGAATTTCTGGATATGTTAGTCAAAACTCCAAGAAGAAGTAGGGTACTCTCTGATATTTCCAATGAAACCATCTAGAGCATCCTAAAAGTGCTGCACTTTTGTGAAATTTTCAGCAGATACTTTACAAACTCCTTATAAATGGGCCAAACCAACGACATCTCACACGTCTGCAGAGTTGCGTACGAGACTTGTCTGGGGAGGGCAAACCATTCAGTTCATAGACTTTATTGACGTGCTATCTTAGCAACACATCTTGATGAAGTCTTTTCGTTTTATCGTGGATATTGACTTTTGAAGCTGATCTAAACAGAGCGATTTCCAGCAAAAATCCTTTTGTCGATTTCTTTTTGAGTCGGCTAATGATTATGAAGACGAAACTGATTAGAAGATGGTAGAGAAATTTTGCTCGGTTAGTTAGGATTTCTCACTGGGTGATTCACAGAGATCCTCAAAGAGTAGTGTCTGGAGGAAGACTGCATCCCTCTAGCACATTCCGTCCCAAAGAGGTAAAACATATTCGTATCGACAAGTCCTTATTCCATGCCATGAAACGAAATCTAAAGGCTGCATGTGCGACTGGAGAGGAGCACTGATCAGACAATGTTAAATGAAATGGTATCCCAGCTGTTTGATCGATTCTTTTGCACGGGATTACCTCAACAGATTGAGATAGCTTAAGTGGTTCACACGGCCTTAGTAGCATGGAAGGACCTCATTGATGGCTGATCATGTGCTCATTTTATTTCATTCAACAATACCAGACTTAATATTCCTGTTAGCGGTGAATAGAGCAATGGTTCGAAGAACTATATGGCACCTGAGGATCGCTCTCACTACATGAAACGAATTTCACCGATATTTGATTCCTTCATTGCCTTCACTTTCTACTTGACAACCTCGTATCACTTAAACAGTTAAGGTAGGAAGTTACCTCCTGCGATAAGTGTGTCATGGTGATTTCTTGGAAGTTGAGGGAAAGTACGACGGTTCGTCCGTTCCCCTAACTGTAAAGCAAATTGGATTAACGCATTAAAACACCATTTCTAAAACATATTACCTCTGAAACATTCAATGGAAAAATTTTATTGAAAATCAAAAAAATTTAAAAGCTCACTTCTCTCAGACACTGCTAGTCGGTACTGATTGCGAGCACATTGCAGGCGGCGTTTCTGAGAAGCTAAATACGACGGATGAGAGAAGATTTCCCTACGACGTCAGAAAGGGCTCAAACGCGGATCACAAAGCTCAGTCGGGCATTATGAAATGAGGACAGTTATAGGAAAGAGATTGAGGAGACTTATTGTATATGTGGCTTTGGAATACCCACGCCTTGGTCAGTGACTCGAGATAGGAAGTATCACGAGGAATGTGTGCTGCGAATCGTAAACTACGTGATCGTTCAGGTACACAAGATGAGAGAATACGTAATTATTGCTTTGCAAAGATCAGGCCGTTTCTGAAGTGTGCCCATTCCATGCCACATTCCACTTAGGATTGCAAAGAAGTTTGAATGCCGTTTTTTAGCTGAATATATCAGCCAGTATTCATGTCATGCTAATGAGTGTAGGAATGACTTCTTTCTCCCTATGGAACATCCTGGTGACGTTAAAGCGATCCCAGACGGAATAAATGTCAGTTGACATGAACGGTAGGGGGGCGATTTGATTCACTTCGCACCTCCGAATAGTTTCAATTCTAGCTTAACAGTATCACATATGTATATTGGTTATAGGTTTGGTTATGAAAAGATATTGAAATTGCTCAAACAGAAAAAAGATTGGGTGTTTCGAAAAGATTGGACAAAAGACAGAAACGAAATAACGACACCTTCAGTCACAAGGCTACATAGGCTTAAAGACACAGTTCACAATGAAAGTGACTTTTGAGATATCCCGCTGGAATGAATTTGTAGGATCCCCGTACGCTGTATGTGGTGCTGCAATATCTGAAAGGTGCCGAGACAGGGCGTTATAAAGTTCCAAAAATGGCACCGAGTATATCCTCGGACGAGTTTCACCGGCAATGTAGAGGCTACACCGTTCACAAAGAAACTCGTGTAGGAAGTTCAAACAACTTGTCATGACCCATGGTGACAGTAGAAGGTAGTTCTGTACAGTTCTGGCTTGATGTAATCAGTTCTTTGCGCATTTGCAACAATCGAAATCTCATCCGAATACCCGTTCCATGTTATTTCCGTCATGATAATCTCGTCGAACCTCCATTATTCGACTCGACTAAAAAGGAGTGCCTAAAATTATCGTAGACTGCCTTTAAGAAGCATGATCCAAGAGTGCGGTGCAAATCCTTGGATGTGCTGAAGAGCAGTTAATTTTAGCTCTGCCGAGAAGATTATTATATTCGAGCTAAGAGGAAGTTACAGGGGAGTCAAGAAGATGGGGAAAACCTCACATAGCCACCAATGGATTTTGACTGCTACGTGTGATGCACGCAACAGTATATTTCTAGACCGTTGGCTATCGCTCTTACAGTAGCTCCCTTAAAACCGAACACGTTCTTCGCAATCACGCACAGGACCTTCGTCCAAGTTCTGTGGACAGTATGCAAGGGCACCGAGGAGTGAATGTCATTTGGGATCAGACACGTCATGGTGGGAAAAGTACAGGACCATTGGCTGGTCACCGCAATTCATTGTACAAGCCATACACGCATTCTGAAGGTTACTCTGAATGGAAGTTGAATGCAGGGCGTCTCCAAAAGGCTAGATCGATTTACACTGAAAACCTAATCCTTCTTATATGCAAGGTAGAATTTCTAAGCGATATGAACACGCCGCGATTTCTGATCTCAAGGGTTTCAAAGAAAGTGGACGAGGTAGTCCGGTTGCTCTCTGCCATCACACACTCTTTCACCGCTGCGTCCTGCCTTTTCGCTGATGACCATCCAGATGAGAAGTCCTTAGTGGTTTCAGAGTAGGTACGATCGCGCATAGCAGCCTCGGGCTCTCCAAGGCCACCGCTGCAATAGAGCATTCGTAGCCTCATTCAAAAATCATGAAGTTAGTCATTCCGCTTTTCCTCCAAAAAAGCATGTACAGGAAATGAACATCTCCGTGCGCATCATGAGCCTAATACAGCTGTTCATAGTTTTTCAGCTCTTGTAGACGCTCAAAAATATGACCATCCCTCATTGGAACGGTTCCCCATCTTAACTTTGCGTATACGCCCGCAACTCAGCTCACTACTGCTTACTACTTTCGGCTGGGGGATGGAACATTCTCCCGATTCTGGATGAAGGCGGCAAACTGCGCTCCGAAGTTCGTGGTGGTTCAAGCAGTCACCAGGGTGATTTTGAGACGCCTACACAATGCTGTTTTCCTTCTGATTCGGTAGTGATTGGAGAGCAATGTGATGTGACAAGTTTTTTTTTCTAAATCGTGTTTCCATTATGAGAGACTTTAGTTACAAACATTTCGTTCTTCTCATATGTTCATTAGGTTATAGGAGTCATACTACTGTTAATTTAGAGGTACAATAATGCATAAAAAACAAATCTACATCACAGGTTCTAGGTGGAAAGATGTCAACAAAAGCATCGAAAGGATGTAGAGTGCGACAAAATCAACAAAAGAGGGATTTCTAGGATCTAAGGAAAGAAACCCGAGTATTGTTAAATTCTTACTTCCCCACAAAACTAGTACCCTAGTCTTTCGCACCTGCCCCCCGCTTACACTGCTCCAAGCCACCGCTGAAATCTGCTATATTCAAGAGATTTGTGTCCGCTTATGCTAAGTCTCATCTGAAACCGACCTCATCACACTTTCGGAGAGTCGTTTGGCAAATCTGGAAAGCAAGTTCGAATTCAGCATCCGCTAACACGACTGTAGTTCTAATTTTAAACAGCCACTTCGACTCGGGTTCCTACCTCGATTTTCTCAATTTGCCATTCATAACTTGGAGCAGCATATCGGATAGTTCCGAGAAATGGCTGAACTGATGAAGAACACAAACATCCAAGTCCTATGTCTTCGGGATGCGCGCTGGAAAGGAGCAAACGCTGAACAAGTACGGGACATTGTCAAACCCTACTACAGGAGAGGAGACACCAAACGAAATGTGTGGCTATAGCAGTGTTGGGAGGACTCAAGAACTCCATCATCGCCGTCAGTAAGATCGGCGGTAGAATTATGACCTTGATAGTAGAAACGAAAAAGGGACACTTGACAATAATATCCACGTAAGATACAAACTGCTGCCCGAGTACAAAATGAGGTCTATTTGAGGTTTGATAATTTTATCAGGATGTTATCAGAAATGAGTTGCTCCAAAACAGCGGCTGATTTGAATGATTACACAGGGAATGGAAGGGCCTTGGTTGGTTTAAGAGGATAGAAGAGTAGGAGCCAGAAACAAGGAAGAATAGAGGGTAGAAACCTGGCATCGGGCTGTCCAGGACTATACTGAAGGATATAAGGGATAGATATGGTGCCATCTTGATGGAGTCAGCCGAGGTGAAGCGCTGTGGGTAGAAGTTACCGACAGGTTTTTAACGACGAATTTCATCCAGGGTGGAGCCTCTTAAACATAGGAATTCCGTTGAATAAAAAATTCTAGTGTAGCTCGAAAAGTCTTTGCAAAGGTTCAGCCAACATAACCGTAGGACTACAGAGTATTTTAAAAGGGTTTTAGAGATTTTCCGGCTCATTTATAGAAAGGAACCCTTTTTAAGAACATTGTCAGCGTGGAAGAAACTGCTTCACTGACTAATATTATATGTATTATAGCATGTATGTACAAGACACCCCCGCGCCCTCCAAACTTCTAGCTCCTCGCTGTAATATAAAGGCAATATGATAACATCTGAACCCCACTTCAAAAATTAAAAACACAGCAAGTGTGAATCGGATGCTGACAAGAATTCAAATGTTTTTGAATGCAGAAACAATATACACAGCACATTCTGTCAACAAAACAAAAATGAGAGCCTGAGGCGAAAAAAAAAACTTAACGTGAATGCTGAAATCCTTCTAAATAGTAGAAAAATACTCGAGCGATCTATTTTAGCCTGTTCTTTTTCTTTATACGAGAGTATGTAGCCCAACAAAATGTTCTGTTCGAGTAAAATTTGTTACTTTATCTATCCATAAAAACAAAAAAAACAAAAAACAAACAAAATAAAAAATTCATAATAGTTGAGCTCGAAATTGAAAATTAGTCCAAAATAGTGCTCCCAGAAGTGGCGAGCCATAGAAAAGTCAACACTCAACAAGAAAACAAATTTCTGATGCAAAAAGGGAGCTCGAATACATCATTTATTGTAGGTCCTGTTCATGGTTGTAGGGTGGAACAGAAACGGCAGCTGTGAAATCATGGTTTGCGGCAGATGATAATTTAATAGAAATGGAGTCAACTGGAGCTCTAGAGGAAAGAGGCATCCTTGAGTTACTGGCCATCTGTCGCCTGTTCGCTGCTGTCCGTGACGTCCTATCTCACATTTATGGACCAGTGCGAGACTCACGCAAAAATAGTATTCAACGGGGCTTTATTTCGCTATCTCACTGCCATAGTAGTGGTGCATGGGGTAAGTAAAATGTGAGCTAATGAAGCACCTGACAGAATACCAAACTGAAACTTCTCACAACCTCACAAACAGAATTGAACCGTAGGCTACAATCGCACTTGCGAATGCTCATCCTCAATCGGGGAAAAGACTGCAAATCCTACCAGCTGCAATTCCACAAACAAATAGAGGGATCGATTCTCGCCTTGGTCAACCAAACATTGAATGACTTCAAAACCAACCAATTTACCGATACTATATATCAGTGAGAGAATAAAATCGCAAAGATGTACTACTTCTACAAGTTATCACTGAAGATCACCATGAACTTGACTAGAATCCCAATAAGTAACACATTCCAGAAGGCATGTGTGAAGGAGACCATGAAATTTGCCTTAATTGATCGATTCAATAAATTGAGGGCCAAATGTGGGAAAAGGTGGATTGCTCTTGGCTGTGAGGAGATCTATGATTGAAAAAATCTAGCATCCTCTGTTGATTCAGCCTGCATCGCAACTCTAACAGCGGCAAACTCAGCGACATCAGGCGGCATTCACTACGATCTTCGATTCGACCCATGTTAAACATTGAAGTAGGTAGCTCTGCTGGAATAGCAAAGCCTCATTGTAAAGTGGAATAGTTTTAGAGAAATGTCCACATCCGATTTGGACACAAAAATGGATAACAAACTCACGGTCACTAATGAGCATACAGTTGAACATCTATACCATCATATAAGGAATGGGTTAACTAACGTACGACATAGGGAAGGGAACAATTCAATGTATGTGAGACGTGTCTGTGAATCATGAATGCTACCTATTGTACTGGGTATTGTAACAAGCGCCATTGAGCACACAGACCTTCGACACCTACGAAGGGTGTTTATGGGACTGCAAATGTGGCATTCTGAGAAACCATGTAGGTAAGCCTAATGTCGTCATTGATGAGTAAGGCGTTGTTAATGCCAAGTCATTGTGCTCATTTTGCTCGAACTCCTCCACTCTTTCTGGGAAGGAGTTCAAGCGAAATGATTTGGCATCAACAATGCCTGAGTCTATCCAAATTATGTCCTAGAAAAAAGTAAGGTTTCATCAGTTCCAAATAACTAGTTTAATCTAAAACTATTCTACTGTCCCATTCCAGATGACTGAACGAAGTGTTCTCTAAAAAGGCACTGAAAGGCTTTGGTAAGGTGTTATCGCCCCTGTCGAACACCTCCCTTCACGCTGATGGTGACTTCCACATAGGTTGGCGAAACCTTAGTCGTAGAACTCACGAAACATCCTTATATATTGAGCAGTAACACCCTGGTTGCCTAGGGGTTCAATTGCCTTCTGTCTCGACAATATCAAAGGCCTTCTTCAAACCGATGAACGTCGGCTACAATGGCTCTTGCATTCTTACAATGACCTTCCACAATTTCCTTACGCCATGCACCACTACTATAGCAGTGATTTAGCAAAATAAAGTCCTGCTTACTACTTTTCGCGTGAGTATATCTAAATTCTCCCACTTATTCATAAATGTGAGATTTGACGTCAAAATGAATCTTGTAAAAGTGCGCATGTGACCGATTATGCTAAACCCTTTCCAAAACCCTAATTGCTTATATGGCAGCCCTCTATCTAATATTCAGCTGATCCTGTTAAAGATGACTCGTGTGAAAAAGTTATAGATTACAGGCAGCAGGTAGATTGGGCGATAGTTGCCAATATCGTCGAGACGACCCCCTCGACTTGGGTACATCGCTTTACGACAGGTACCGTATCAAAGCCTGGCCAGAGTTCTGAGGACCACTGGAGGAAGACTCTTCAGATGTTCTGGTTTGATCCTATTGCGACCGGACGCCATACAAATCTTCATGGACATGATGGCACGTAGAATTCGGAAAGGGGAGTCGAAGGAACGACATTTCCATCTTGCCTGAAATGGTAGGGAGTAGACTGACTAAGGTCAGAGTTGAAGTCGTGGATGACCTTCTCCATTATCCTTCGGCATGTAGGGACTGTTCTGCCAGGACGACGAAGGTTAGTCATCATGGTCTTTATTGTTCAGGACGACGAAGGTTAGTCATCATGGTCTTTATTGCCTTTCTGCACATCTTCAAAACTTCGGAGTTTGATTAATTCCACACTTGCGCACCTCTCGAAGGTCTCCGAAGGGAGACGTCCTTCGGCCACATTATCGTGAAAATGTTTGTCGAGCCACATATGCTCTCCATCGATGTTGTCGATAACGGAATTTTCCCAGGAACTCGCAAGATAAACAAAGTAGTCTTGGTCGTTTACGGTCATGGGGCTTTTTTTCCCAAACCTCGCAGCTCTGTCTCTCCACACACTGGAAAGCAGAATATAACGAGGAGGAGACGATGGTCTGATCTCGTAAAAAACTTCGGAACATCAGTGTCGTCAGTAAGACAAATTTTTGAACGAAGATAATGTGATCTATTTCATTATAGAACAGTCTAAAGGGCGTAACCCCAGTCCACCAGGTGATAGGGCCTCCTCAACTGCGAATTACATGGATTGTGTGGGTCGACATGATGGAATCGGACATATTTCTCCTTGATCAATCCACTCCGTTCTGTGCGTTTTGATATGTAGTTCTTCTGGAGCCAGTTTTAGCGAAGGGATCTCTGACCATGATCTCGAAGAAAGTGAGTCCCTCTCTGAAAATCTTCCTAGATTCATGAATACGAGCCCAGCTCATCCTCTTCACACTTAATGTTGGCGTGTGGGCAACGAAGATTTTTAAAGCAATAGCTGTGCACCTTCTGAATCGCAAACGTCCTGTTCGGATTAGGTCGGGTTGTCAAGCTTTCCCGTTCAAGTACGTACTGACGAGGACACCTACGCTGCCGGTGACTATGCCGTCGTATATAGAAAGGGGCACTTTTTCTCCAGTTTTGAAAACGACATGGAGCGGGCGATGCCTTCTCGTCTCGGTCAATTCGATGACGTCGTACTTGGTCTTCCTAGCCTGCATCATCGGGTCTCCGATACACGCTTCGATGTAAGCGTTGTTGCAAAGATAGCATTCGTCGTCTCAGTCCCTTTTCGGACAGCCTGTGTTCGCCTGAAGATTCCAACAACGTCTTCCAAACGATCCTGCCCAACACTGCACTACTGGGAGCTCCCTGTGTTCAAGGGGAATGAGGCCAATCTATATTACTGTTTTTGGGGTATGGGTGCCAACGAATAGCTTGCCGGGCTCTGACTTAGGTCTGACTTACTCAGGGTAGCTTGCCAGGCTATCCCGAAGTGACAAAGGCTTTGATTTGGAGGCGGTCCCGAATCGCCTCGTGGATACTTTCAGTCACTCGAATGCAAGCTTTTGGCTGAGCGGAGGGGTAGGATACCAACTGCACGCGCAGGCTCTTCACACACGTATGCACTGATACACTTGCGAAATAAAGAAAGTATATCGGTCCAGCACAGCAGAATTATTGGAGTTCGTCCCCTGAATCTACCCTCGCCTCCTGACAATACCGGTGACNTTCGGTCACCGGTATTGTCAGGAGGCGAGGGTAGATTCAGGGGACGGACTCCAATAATTCGATCTCTATCCATCGGTCTCGATTTAGTCCTCTATCCAGCATCTGGGGCTAGTCACTATTCGGCTAGAGATGAGAGGGAACCTCCGGTGAAAGAAATCCGTATTCTGATGCAGAACTCTTTATCTGTGCCTCTTGTTTGAAGTACTCGATAATATTCATATTCGTAAGAGTTTCACCGGGACCTCGAAGCGGCATCACAAAGTTGAAGAAAACAATGACGTCGATGTGCGTGTGCCAACCATAAGAGTACAAACAAGGGGTCAAGAGAAAACTTTTCCTATTGCTGAAGAATTAAAGCAAAATAGCGTTATTTACAACACTTCTAGTGGAGGAGGGGATCAGTCATGCCGACCACTCCTTGGCACTAGTCGAATATGTTTTAGATGTAGGCAGTACTTCTAGGTACTGAAAAATCTATACGAGACCTCATACCTTTATGAGTACAAACAAGCACCCATATATCTCCAATAATGAAAATGAATCATGAAGTAGGTCGAGAACGCGCATGNTACGAACAGGAAGTGGTACTACTGATTACCTAATTTATAAGAGATGCTCCGCGCGCGCATTGATATGTGGAGTCTTTTCCCAGAATAATAAATCCATTAATGCGACGTCTGGCAGTTCTACATACATCGATTGTTTTGTGTTATTGTTGTTTTCGTAAATTTACTAATTGCGTGATTGGATCTGTGTACTTGACTCAGAGTGAAGGAGATAAGCAACGAAAAGGTTCGATATAAAGCATAATATTGACGTGGCATTTTCCATACTCCATGGATCCCATAGTTGCGATTACAAGATTGCAGGGATATTTGCATTTGCTAACTGACAAAGCCCTCGTCGCCATGACAATAACTCGAAACTTGCTCGAAATAGAGCTTGGATCCGGTTCACCCACTCTCGGCTTCCCACTTCGTTTCTGACAAATCTGGTGTCCTGTGCGCATTTGTGGAATATCATCAGAAGCTTCCGAGAAAAGTAAAGGCTACACAAGCACTGAGACTGCTTATCGGTGAAGGAGTAATTCAAGAAGGCGTATGGGTTTCTATTGCCTCTTCAGTCTGAATTACCCATCTAAGGTATCAAGCCGTGGCGCAGATGGATCGTCAAGTAGTTTTATGGAATTGAGTTTGTTTGGTGATTGAACAGCTGTCCACAGAGTTCACATAATCGATTGGTCCATCGATAGAAGCGATTCCAACGAACCGCCTCGACCATTCGTCTGTACCACCCTCTACCTCACTGCCCTTGATGAAAAGGTATGTTATAGNTCTGACAAATCTGGTGTCCTGTGCGCATTTGTGGAATATCATCAGAAGCTTCCGAGAAAAGTAGAGGCTACACAAGCACTGAGACTGCTTATCGGTGAAAGAGTAATTCAAGAAGGCGTATGGGTTTCTATTGCCTCTTCAGTCTGAATTACCCATCTAAGGTATCAAGCCGTGGCGCAGATGGAACGTCAAGTAGTTTTATGGAATTGTGTTTATTTGGTGATTGAACAGCTGTCCACAGAGTTCACATAATCGATTGGAGATCGAGTCATCGATAGAAGCGATTCCAACGAACCGCCTCGACCATTCGTCTGTACCACCCTCTACCTCACTGCCCTTGATGAAAAGGTATGTTATAGTATTTTTTACGTGTGTTAAAGAATGACAGGCTCCAAATAGGGTATGTATTCATTTTGTTGTGAAGACTTCCTTGTATTTCGGGAAATGTGAGTTGCAATGGTTGGCAATTACAAATTTCCAACATATAGTAATCACCAAGACAGATTGAATGCTTTCATTTGCCTGCGAGCATGGTTCACTTCTTAAACGCGAACTGAATCCCTGTTTAGGTTCCTTTTATTCGGTTCTGCTTTCCAGCTTTTTTAAACTAAAAGATTATTCATGCAGCTGATAATGGGAATCG